ATATCTAAATAATTTAAAAAATATTTAATTGTTATTTTTTAAATATTTTATATCAAAATAAAAATTTGTCATCATAAACATCTTCAAAATGACCAAATAAAAAATAAAAATAATAATAGAAATATAATTTAATATATATCTTTAAAATAATTATTAATATTTAAGTATTTTTATAAATTTAAATTAGAAAAATATTAATCAAATATAGTATTTAAACTTTAAATATCATATGTCATTATTTTTAAAATGATTATAATATGTATGTTGTCGGAGCATAGCGACAGCTTTTATCTATTTAGCTTGGCTGTAAGCCAATGACGAAATTTCTTTTATGAGACCTTCCGTACGGGCAGTCGCTCCGTAGCTTCCTTTCAATTTTTCTTCTTTTTATATGCAGTGCTGTACGGGCCCACGCACGTAAAATGGTGCTGCAAACCGGCTGTCAATGCCAATTTAACCAATAGCCGAGAAATTTAGCCATATTGAGGATATATTATATTATTATTAATAGTTTTACCGTTTTATATCATATTTATAATTTCATGCTATTTTTAACTTTAGGGCCAAAATGACCAAATTTTAATGGCATTTTATTTTGTTATTTATTTGATCTCACAAAGACAATTAATTAAATAAGTGATGAAAATATAATTCCTCTAAAAAAATTGCTAACTCATAGTTACGGTATGGCACCGAAGCAAGAAAGACAGTCGTAATTCTAAGTATTTTTTTTAAATAAAAATAGTATTTTTTTTTGGGAATATTTGGGGCATCAGCCCATTTCATTAATGTAGAAACAAATTACAAGTAAAAAGAAATCATTTGCTAAAACAAAAGAAAAGGAAATGACAAAACTATCAGCACATGCCGCTGAACAATCAAAACCTATAAAGAAAATTTAAAGAAAAACAAAAGGACTCAGAGCAATCCAAAATAAACGCCCAGCTAGCCAAAATCATCCTGATGGATGAACTGATCCCCTGGTTGCCGAAGAGAAACCGCTCCCAGGCCGTCCAAGCGGAGAAGAGTAGGATTGCCATCACATCGTCCTTCAAAAAGCCAGCCCCTTGTTGCCAAAAATGACCGTCCAGAGACACCAAAATTCTGGAATTGTGAACGGGCATAAACCAGCAGGCCTTCCAGTCAGTAGAGGCGTGATTCAGGAGAACAAAATGTGTGGAGAGTTGAAGCATTTCTTCTTGTAGCTTTTGAGATAAACAGCACTTTTAATCTTCAAAGCAATGGCAGTATGGCTTTCAGTGATATTACCAAAAATTCGGTCATTTCTTGCTCTCCAGATGAAATAGACAATAGCAGAGATTAAGAGGAAGCATAAATTCTTCCTGTTGATATCAAATTCCCTATCCTCAATGTCATTAAAAACTTGCCAAAGGTTCGGATGTAGCAGCATAAAGTTCATCCTTGGCATGAAACTCTTGAGAATATTAAAAGAGAAATCGCATTCAAAGAACAAATGGTTTTGGGTTTCTCTTTCAGCTTTACAAAAAATGCAAAGAGGATTAACAGAAATACTTCTAGCTAGCAATGCATCCGCCTTTTTAAGCCCCTTTTTGAAAACAAACCAGGAATATAACAAAAAGCGCATGGCAAAAGACCTATGCCACACATACTTGTACCAGCTAACAACATCAGGCCCAACATAATAATCTTTAAGAAAATTTTTGAAAGACGGCTTCTCAGATTTTGCCCAGCAACAATCATCCAGACCATAACATATAGGAACAGAGTGAATAACATCAGCTAAATTGAAAGGAATATACGAAGGTAAATTCCAAATGTCATTAGTAATGAAGCTGCTAATAGTAAGAGAAGAGTGGCCGGAAGGAATTTCCAAGTTAAAATCCTTCAACCTTTCCGCAATAGACTGACCATAGCACCAGGGATCGCATAAGAAAGAAAGGGTGCTGTAAGGTGTAGTATTGAATTTAATGGAACTTAAAATGCTATTAGCCACATCACAAAGAGCTTTCCAGTATATTGATCTTTTAGAAATGCTAGAGTTCCAAAAGGACCCATACTTTCCTTTCCACCACCCAAACAGATAACTCTTCGAGTTAAAAAACCTCCAAACCGTATTGCAACAAAAAGCAAAATGCATAGCATCCACCGATGGGATACCAAGGCCACCATAAATCTTTGGCTTACAAGTATCCTTCCAAGAAACCATGTGCAAACCTTTCTTATCAACATCGCCAAAAAATAAGAATTTAGAGCAAAGGCTGCTGATGATTTTAACACAGGATTTAGGAATGATGGTCCCTCTCACCCAATAAGCCAAAATGTTACTCACATTGTACTTAAGAAATTGCAAACGACCGGCAAGAGAAAGAGTTATTGCCTTTCAGCCTTCCAAAGATGCCCTGATTTTATGTAACAGTGGTTGAAAATCGACAATTTTGAGTCTTTTGTGAAAAATTGGGATGCCAAGATATTTGATGGGGGTTGTAGAGGCTTGGATATTAAGAGTGGCACAAATAGTCTGCTCAGCAACAACATTTTTAGAGAAAAGAATGATGCTCTTGTTTAGGGGTGTCAATTTCGGGTCACGGGTCGGGTTCGGGTCGAACCAGGAACTGACCCGGGTTCTTTGGCAAAATCATTCAAAAGGTTTTTAAGAGAAATTGCATTATCTTGTGAGGCCTTGGCAAAAACCAGGAGATCGTCAGCATAAAGGAGATGAGAAATAGTAAAGTTACCCATCACCATGCCCTGAATGGAGTTAGCCAGGATAGCTTCCTCAAAGTAAGAGGAGAGACAATCCATGACCAAGCAAAAAAGGTAGGGTGATAGGGGGCATATATCCCTGTCTTAATCTAGAGGAGGAATTGAAATAACCTTCGAGGGCCCCATTAATATTGATGGAGAAATGAACATCTGTAATACAGCCCTGAATCCAAGAAACAAACAGAGGAGGGAAACCCTTAGCAAGCATACGATTAAGCAATAAATCCCTAGAAACAGTATCAAAGGCTTTATGAATGTAAAATTTTGCACAGAAAAGTTGGTGCTTAGCACTGGTATTAAAATCCATGAGTAGTTCCTCAGCCAGCATGATATTATCAGATATAATACAGTCCTTGACAAAACCGGATTGGCTAGGGTGGATGATAGAAGGCATGACATCCTTCATTCTATTAGCCAGGATCTTAGCAATAATCTTGTAGAAAGTGTTGCAGAGTGAGATTGGCCTAAAATTCGAGATGTCCTGAGCATGAGGCCGTTTAGGGATTAAGGCAAGGGCGGTAGCTTTTGCATGCTTAGGCATGGAGCAAGTAGAAAAGAAAGTCCAAACCGCCTCACAGATCTGCTTACCAATTATATTCCACATGGACTTATAGAATTCGAATGTGTAACCATCAGGTCTAGGAGTAGAGCAGTTGGGAGAGGAGAAAATAACATTCCTAATTTCATCCATAGAGATAGGGGAGATCAGCTGCTGAGTATGATCATTTGGAAGCTTCAGGTGAATGGGTGCCTCCCAAGGGTATTTGGGGGCCTGGTGAGCAGTGTTGAAAAGTTTTTGAAAGTGGTTTATAATAGCAGAACTAATATCAGTAGGATTATAGAAAGTTCCTTCCCCCGTGGTAATGCATTTGATGTGGTTGGAGTTGTGCCTAACATTAATCCTGGAATAGAGAAACTTGAGGTCATTATCACCATTGGTTAACCAGTTAACCTTAGCTCTTTGAAGAAGCCACCCGGACCAATCCAAATTTTTCACAGCAAGATTATGATTGATGTCTGTCAAAGCCAAGTTGAGGTCGGGATCCAAAGGAGAATCCTGGATCATGCTAAGAAGAGAATTTTGTTGGTTAATATCCTTTTGAAGGGAGTTAGAAGAGACCCACTGTTTTCCTTTAATGCTGAGCTTAAGAGTTTTGAGCTTTTGAAGAAAAGCATTAATAGAGCTACTGTGAAACCGTTGAGAGAAAACATCAATAAGAGCATCCCAAAATTCATTCTTAGACAACCAAAAGTTCTTGAAAAGGAATCGGTGCTTGTGATGTTGGTGATGATCATAATGAAGAATGATAGGGGAGTGATCTGAAATCCGCGGATCATCAACAACATAGTAAGAATTAGGGTAAGTATGAAGCCAAAGGTCATTCACAAGCATCCTATCAAGCTTAATATGAATCGGATTATCAGTCCTTTGGTTAAACCAAGTGAAGTAATGCCCCACCGAGCTAAGGTCATGATCACCAATGTTGAAAATGAGGTTATTAAAATCCTCCACTTTGCTATTAGTAAGCAAAGAACCTCCCGCTTTTTCGTTAGGAGACCTACAACAGTTGAAGTCTCCTAGAATAATCCAAGGGATGGAAGTATTTACAGCAATGTCACTAAGGTCCTTCCAAAGAGTTTTCCTTTCAACCATAGAATTAGAAGCATAGATCACAGAAACACAGTAAGCCACGATATTACCAGAGGAAACAATGTCGTGGATCAGCTGACTGGACGTAAAAACAGGCTGAAAACTCACACACAATGAGTTCCGTTTAATCCATATCCTTCCCGGAACAGAGCAATCAAAATTGTCATATGAGCCTTCGTGAGGGAAAACAGAGTGGGTGGAGAGGAACCAAGGATTGGAGGGAGTGGGTTTGGTGATTCTAGATTCCAAAATGCAAAGGAGATCAATGTTGAAAAATAAGGTTTTTGCAGCAGATAGCTTTGTCAGGGCTGTTGAACCCACGGGTGTTCCAGGCTGCCAGAATAGGAAGACTGGTCATTGGGACTTGGTCGAGGGGGTGGTGGCCTTTTTGGCCGTTTTAGCTCTTGTGGACTGGGTAGAAGAGTTGGTTGACGCGGAATTTGAAGAAGATTGTTGTTTATCAGTGGAGCTGTTAACATTCAAGGAAATGTTTGAGTCAGGTGGTTTTCCAACCGGATCACTCAGAGCTGAGGAATTCGGCAGTTGGCTAGTGGCCTCAGTTTTAGAAGCCAAATCTTGGTCAGATAGTGCAACAAATTTGTTAGTGGTAGTGACAATGGGTGGGTTAAGGATATGCAATTTGGGAGGTAGGGGATTAGGGGTGGAGATAGGCTCCTCATAAGGGGAGTTTAAATTGGGTAGTTGAATTGTGAGGGGTGTATCTGAGACTATAAGAGCCTCGGTGGTGGTAGTTGGCTGAGATGAAGGTGTAAAAACAGGAGGTTTAGGAATATTCAGTATAGGAGGAAGTTTCCTGGGCTTACGGCTAGAACTTCTTCCACGAGTCTGAGGAATTTCAGTTTGCTGAGGATTGGGATTCTGGGGGCAGGAGTTTGGGGGATGCATAATAGAATTGCAAAAGGAGCAGTGAGAAGGCTTCCATTCGTACATCACAGTCAGCGGAAAAACTTTTCCATCCATAGTATAGTAAATCTCATCTGGTAAAGGTGATGAGCTACTCACCTGAACACAGACCCTGGCGAACGTAAGCCTTATTTTAGCAGCGGTGAGAGCGTCAACCGCTAGAGGGATGCCAACACAGCTAGCGATCCTGGAAATCCCCTCTGGTGTCCAGCACGAGAGCGGGAAGTTTTTGATCTTGATCCAAAGGGGAATGGAGGGGAGCTCTTCCCGCTTAGGCACAAAGTCAGGAGTCCATTTCTGGAGGATAAAAGGTTTACCGAAGAAGAACCATGGTCCCCTAGACCATGCCATGTCTTAGTCCTCTCGATTATTGAACTTGAGGAGGAAGAAGCCTTCATCCAAGGTGAGAAGGGTAAGGGAACCTTTTAGCGACTAGGTCTTCTTGATCGTTGCGAGGAGAGTTCGTAGTATGGACGTCGGCCAATAGAGTAGCCAACCAACGAGAGAGCCCATTCGGGAGATCCAGCATTAAACTGAGCGGCGGTGAAGTGTGCTGTGGCGTTTTGAGTTGGAAAGTGAGAAATCGCAGAGGTGAACTCATTCGAAACAAGCGGTTGCGATGCGATGAGGTTCTTCCAGTCACCCGAGAGCAGAGTGGAAGAGGAGGAAGGGGGGTTAGAAGAAGAGTTGAGAGTGGGGGAAATGGAGGAGGACATCTCCAAGGAGGTCTCCCTCAGGGAAGAGGCGGTGGCGGCCAGAGAATCGCTAGAAAAGACTTAGCAAAACCCTAGCAGAGCAAAACTCATCGAATATAATTTTAATGATTACAAAAAAAGTAAATAAAAAAATAGTATTAATCATCATTCAATATGTTTGCGAACTCATCCTCTTTTGGAGCCCATACCACAAAGCTTCCTCTATTACAATATTTTTTCTACAACAAAATGATGCAACATTAGGTGATAAGGAAGGGAAGTTGACTTTTTTTTGCAATAGATTTCAAATATAGAAGAGAATAAAAAAACCTAAATAAATATTTAATTGTCTCAAGGAGCTAATGCAACTAAAATCATGTCAAATCAAGGCAAGTCGACAAGACAAAAGAGAAAAAATTATTAAGTCACCAAAATCATGGAGAGCTTGGTGAGCTTACATTAAAGTTAAAGATGCCTATAAGACCTTAATAGGCATACTCGCCCTTTTTTTCTTTTTCCTACTCGTCCAATTTCTTAGCTAACTTGCACTAGTTTATGGATCATTCATTTAAGATTAAGATATACTTGCCCATATCAAACAAAAAGTAGAAAATTTCATCAGAAGGACATTAACTTGTCCTAGGAAACTGATGACTTCTTTCAATAAAATATCAAGATAGTTATCCATGTGTATATATAAATATATATCGACTATATATCTCCATATGTGTATAAAAGGTCTCATCGTATATTTTTTTCTCATTTTTATGTGGCAAAAGTGAAGCTTTTTTTGTAGCTCCAAACATAGTATAAATACAAAGTCAAAGGGCAATGTTTATGTAAGAGATTATTTTTAGGACATTTTTAGTTGATACAAAAATTCTAAACTTATCCCATAAAAAAAATCTCTTATTTCATTCTTCTTCATCTTCTTCCTTAATCTTCTTCTTGATTTCATTTCTGTATAACTTTATAAATGTTGCTAACAGTATTTTGAAATCATCCATGGACATATAAGATTAGTCATCTTTGATGGTGTAGTCAAATTATATTTTTTATTCATCAAAGCAAAATTTTAGATTAAGGATTATTATCTTTTGTAATAATTTTCTATTATGTGGGAACTTTAAGAGCAAGAAATTTTTTATTAGAATTTTTAGAGATTCTATTTTA